ATGTTCCCTGCTTTTGATCCGTTAATTGTCTACGTGTTGTTATCAATTGCGTTTGAAAGTGTCTAAGCATGGTTCCGGGTTCCACTAAGGTTCCCAGGGCGTTTTTGTGATGAAAGAGTCAGTGGGGGGGGGGGGTAGGTGGGGGTAGGGGACCCGCCACCTACCCGCGGCCAACTTTGAAGTCGCCGGCAGCGGGCAGCCGGCGGGCAGGCGACTGCCCGCCGGGCACCCGCTGCCCGGAACCACGACGCCGGCGGGTGACCCCTCACCCACCGGCTACCCGCTGGATTTTACCCCACTTTGGGATTCCGGCTTCCCCGTTTGATGTTCCCCCGACCCCCGTGGTGTCCCAACGGACCCCGTCTATCGTGCCTATGTCTAGTTTGATGTTCGGGTACCATTCGTAGGTGGAATAAGTCTTATATATTGCATGCTAGTTGAATTGGTATCCCGTTGGCCTAGGTGTAAGAAGTATGAACCCCTTAGGAATATTCTTAGTATGTGGATGATCACGCATAGGTTTCGTTATACGGTTTCTCCCCCTTCCCAATGTGTCAATGTGGGTTGCATATACTTGTTATGTGTTATGTGTGCATGATACCCCAATTCGGTTGCGATCGAATTGGTTATTCCTGAGCTGCGGTTCAGAAGCTGGCTGCGGTCAGATTTACACTCTCGGGCTACGGTCCACCGTTTGGTTGCGATCAAACGCTTTACATGAGCTGCGGTTCATATTCCTGGTTGCGGTCAGATGACTACTCTTGGGCTATGGTCCACTGTTTGGTTGCGATCAAACTTTATGATGAGCTGCGGTTCATCGGTCGGTTGCGATCGACCCCTCCGTGTTGCGATACGGGGCAGGGTGCTGCGGGGCCATGTCAGAGCTATATGCGCTGACCCTCATGTATGGGCATGCGATTGGTCCTGTAGCGCCAACAAAGTGTGCTATGTGATGAGATATGGATGATTAGATTGTTATGAGAGCGTGACCATAGGATACATGCTAGTAACTGTATATGCTTGTTTATGACTATTGGCTATGCTTATCTCTATCTGTCATATCTGTTCCCTACACCTGTGAATTGTGCACGCTTGGTTATGACTGTTGGTTGTGCTTATCCCTATCTGTCGAGTCTATTCCCTGTTTTGAAAGCTAGAGTCTCTTAGGATATATCTTCATGCTTCGAAATGGTTTTCGTATATCTATGTATATATCTATATGTATTGTATTTCAACGCGTTGGAGTGGGTTACCAGCATCTCTCGCTGAACAGATATATTTGGCTTTCAGGCACAGAAGAGTAGACACTGGAGCGCGCTAGAACCGTGGAGCGTAGAAGTAGATAGTTTCTCCTTTCGGCCTGCGTGCCATGCTTATGCTTTTATCTTGTTGAGGATATTAGTTAGTTAGCCTGTGCACCTGAATTCTCTAGCTCAGGTGTGGCATAGCAACCTGTACTATTTATATTATGTTTTGAGATTTAATGAGAACTTACTTTTATTATATAAGTTTCAAAGGTTTAAAAAATTTCGGGGTGTTACAGTTGGTATCAGAGCCTAAGTTTGACCCTAGGATAAGACTTTTAAGACTAAACTTTAAGACATTAGGCTTGAACTCTAGGTACTTAGGGACATAGGACTCAGGAAGCTTAGGACGCGCGGTGAGAATGTGAAACCTACACATAACCCTCCCTCACTTAATTGAAGAAAACTCCCCATCCGCTTATCGCATCAAGGTAAGAATGCAAAATAACATCGACCTATGAGCACCAGGATGGCACCAAAAAGGAGACAAGTAGGAACACCGAAACTCCCCACTCAGGAATTCTTGACTTAGAATCTACAACGCCTGGCCCAAATTGCCCAGGCACTGAGTACTACCATTCCCCAACCTTTACCAACAAACGAGAACTTGGAAATCCACCACCAAGTCTCGGCACAACAACCACCCACCTTCTCAGGGAACGAAGACCCCACGATCCTCGAGGAGTGGATCGGAACTTTTGACAAGATATTCAGGGCAACCGAATGTCCAGAAAACCACCAAGTCAGAATAGCCTCCTTCTACCTCAGACACGAGGCCGACACCTGGTGTAACACCCCGAATTCAACTGGGAAACCCTAAAAACACGGCTGCGAGAACAATTCTATCCCGACCATCTAAAAGCCACCATATACGAAGAGTTCCTCCACCTAAAACAAGGGGCAGCCCCGATCATGGAATACTACCAGCAATTCCGCAGACTGGCTCGCCTCACCCGTGAGCTAGTACCCACCGAGATGATCAAGGTCAAGAAGTTCATAACAGGCCTTGATCCCAAACACTAGAAACCCCTGGCCACACAAGAACCGAGGACCCTCGGGGAAGCCTATGCCAAGGCATTCCAACTACAACAAGTAACAAACCAACCCCGGGAGACACACCTGGGGTACAAAAGGAAACCTGAGGGGAATCACACAAATCCCACCCGAGGGCCTAAAAACTCCAGGACCGTCTCACCTCCCAAGGTCACAACACCGACTACTCAAGGAAGAATCCTTACCCTAAGCAAGGCCAGGATCGGAGACAGCAACATAGTCTCTGAAACCTTCCTAGTACACGCCACCCCCGCCACTATACTATTTGATTCAGGGGCTACCAACTCATTTATAGCAATCGAGTTTGCCACTCAACTCAGCCTTAATGCCAGCACCAAGGTCCGACTCCAGGTCAAGGTGGCCTCTGGCGAAATCATAAAATGCGACCGCATGTACGAGAACGTAATGATCACCATCCAGGGAGTGGAATTTCCCAGCAACTTAATACAATTCGGACTGGATGGGGTACAAGTGATCTTGGGCATGGACTGGCTAGGGAAATTCCAAGCACAAATCCTGTGCGTAGAACAAAAAGTGGTCCTACGGGGACCGAACGGTAAAAGGGTGTCATACCGCGGGACCCGCCAGGATCCGGGGATCAAACTTGTGAACATGATGAAAATGAAGAAGTACCTAAAGCAACGAAGCAAGGCCTTCCTATGCTCGGTCGAGAACCTCAACACCAAACCACCCGAACCACAAACCATTCCAGTGGTAAACGAATTCACCGACGTCTTTCCAGACGAAATTCCCGGGGCACCCCCAACCAGGGAAGTCGAGTTCACCATAGACCTCGTACCTGGCGCTGCCCCGATTTCTAAACCACCCTATAGTGTCGGTGGAACACTTGTGTATGAAGTTCCCTACTCCGAATGGGATAGAAGTCGTCAGAGGAGACCAGCGAGCAGCCCGCAGTTGCTACGTAAAAGCATGCAAGAAGATTGGCAGTAAGGACTTGCAGGTCGACACGATTGCGGAGAAATTTTCAAAGAAGAAGAGGCCTGGCCCAGCACCGAGCCCATATCAGAAACGGAAGATATAGTTCTGGATCCCTCCAGACCAGATCGAGTGGTGAAGATCGGCACAGGCTTAAGCCCGAAGCTAAGGGCCCAGATAGTGGATGTAATCCGGCACTCCCGCGCGGTGTTCGCATGGGGGCCAGAGTACATGCCAGGCATAGATCGAAGCATCATAACCCAAAAGCTCGCAGTCGACCCCAGCGGAAAGCCGGTGCATCAGCGAAAAAGGTATATGTCGGCAGAACGGAAAGAGTTCGTGAGAAAGGAGGTGGCCGCGCTGCTTCACGTGGGGCACATCAAGAAAATTTACTACACGCAGTGGCTGAGCAACGTAGTTTTGGCTCCCAAAGGATCAACGTGGAGGATGTGTATAGACTACACTAACCTCAACAGGGCATGCCCTATGGACCGTTTTCCACTACCCAATATAGATCAGTTGGTGGATGAGACGGCATGATGTGAACTTATGAGCTTCATGGACGCCTTCCGTGGGTACCATCAGATATCCATGCATGAGGAGGACGCCGAGAAGACCGCCTTCACCACTCCCGAGGGGATATTCTGCTACTTGGTCATGCCTTTCGGATTGAAGAATGCCAGGGCCACATACACTCGCATGGTAGCAAAGCTGTTTAAGACGGTGTTGGGACAAAACATGACAGCATACGTGGACGACATGATCGTCAAAAGTCACAAGGCCACCTCTCATGTCAAGGATCTCAGCGAGGTATTTTCCATTATGAAGAAATTTAATTTGCGTTTGAACCCAAAAAAATGCACCTTCGCCGTTGATGGGGGCAAGTTTTTGGGCTTCATGGTCACTAGGAACGGCATTGAGCCGAACCCGGAAAAGGTAAGGACTATCCTTGACATGGAGCCTCCGCGGTCCATAAAGGAAGTCCAGAGGCTCAATGGGCATCTAGCGGCTTTAGGCCGTTTCCTATCTAAATCGGCTGAACGATCCCTCCCTTTCTTCCAAATCTTGAAAAAGAACAAAGGGTTCTAGTGGACGCCAGATTGTCAAAAGGCCTTCAAGGAATTGAAAAAATATTTGTTGTCCCCGCCCCTGCTTGCAAAGCCAGAGGCAAGTGAAACGTTAATCTTATACTTGGGCGTGTCACAGGGTGCGATCAGCTCCGTACTGGTCAAAGAAGAAGGAGGGACTCAGCGTCCCATCTACTACGTAAGTAAAGCCCTACACGACGCGGAGCTCCGGTACAGCGTGATGGAGAAAACAGTATTTGCCAAAGTCACTTCATCAAAAAGGCTAGCTCATTACTTCCAAGCTCACCCCATCCACGTGTCTCTCACCAACCGTTGGGAAGCTTCCTCAGAAATACTAACAGCTCCGCTAGGATGGCACGATGGGCCATGCACCTCAGTCAGTTCGACATAGACTTCAAACCGAGGCCCGCCATCAAAGGCCGAGCTCTTGCAGACTTTATAGTAGAGTGCACAACCCGGGAAGTGACGGACCAGGTAGAAACTGAAGATGGAGGGTGGTGGACCTTGTCCACATATGGTTCTTCCAATAGCAAAGGTTGCGGTGGTGGCGTAGTGCTCGTCACTCCGGAGGGATTCCGCGCCTACTATGCCATCTAAATCCGCTTCAAGTTATCTAACAATGAGGCGGAGTATGAGGAGGCTCAATGGACTGCGGTTGGCGGCAGGACTACGAGCTGAAAAGGTTCGAATTCTGTGCGAGTCCAAGTTGGTAGTCAGCCAGGTGTCGGGGGAGTATGAAGCCAGTGAAGGAAGCATGCAGAAATACAGAGACACGGTGCTAAGAACCTTACGCGAGTTTGAGGGATATGAAATACACCGGGTACCAAGAGAGCAAAACGCCGACGCCGACATGCTCTCCAAGCTAAGTACCGGAGTCCCCAACCACATCAGGAAGGTCGCTCGGTTAGAAGACCTCGAGACTTCAAGTATCGATGTCTCGTGGGTCTTCCCTGTGCAGACTAGGGAACCATGTTGGATTGACCATATCAAGCGATACAAGGCAGATGGCTCCTTACCGCAAGACGAGGCAGACGCAAAGGTAACAAAATTGCGGGCACCCAGCTACATCGTCTCGGGCGATAAGCTATACAAACGCTCCTACAACGGCACATTACTGAGGTGTCTATACCCAGATAAAGCCATGTTGGTGATGAAAGAAGTCCACAAGGAGATATGCTCCGCGCACCAAGGGGCGTACACCATTGCACGGTGCATCATGTTACAAGGGTATTTTTGGCCCAAAATCCTGAGGGACTGCGTCGAGTATACAAAGCGATGTCTCAAGTGCCAAGAATTCCAGGCACTACCAGGTCGACCTGCGACAAACTACACCCCGGTAAGCACCGCGATTCCTTTTTCAAGATGGGAAATTGACCTGGTAGGGGCCCTTCCCATGGGGACTGGAAGCAGGAATCACATCAGGTTTCAAGTGTCTCTATGAACCAGGTTGGTGATGTTGGCCTTACTGCTGAACAGTTCCAGAGGCTTCTAACCTTGTTGCAAAATCAAAATTAAGGGAACCGTCCTTCCAATAGTGCAAATGTAACTGTGTCTAATACTTGAATCAAATCAGACTTCAGAAAACCTATGGAGAAACACAATGAAGGCAACTTCGAGGCACGAGAATTTTCAGAATTCGTAGCAGGATGGGGCATTAAGCATAGCCGAGTGGCGATATCTTATCCTCAGGCGAACGGACAAGAAGAAAATGCTAACAGAACCATCCTCGACGGCCTCAAGAAAATGCTAGAAGTAGCCGACGGAGCCTGGGTGAAAGAGCTCGACGGCATCCTCTGGGCCTACCGCACGACACCAAGAAGGGCCACCGGAGAAACCCCGTTCGCCCTCGCTTATGGATTCGAAGCTCAGGCCCCGGTGGAAGTGATCATACCTATTAGAAGGGTGGAGGAATTCGAGTCAGAACAGAATGAACTCCACCAAATGGTTGATCTGAACTTCTTAGATGAGAAGAGAGAAGCGGCATTCTGCAAAATGGAGAACTACGGTAGCCAGCTAAAGTCCTACCACGACGCAAAAGTCCGACCCCGATATTTCTAGGTCGGCGACCTCGTGTAGCAAAAAAGGGAAGCTAGCCAACCCTGGAAGGAGGAAAATTTGCAATGAAATGGGAGGGGCCTTACGTCGTGGATGAGATCGTTCGCCCAGGAACATACAAGTCAAAAACGACAGGGAGAAGGATGATCGATCGGGTATGGAACTCGGAACATTTGTTCAAGTATTTTCCTTAATATCCTATAGTGGTAATCATTTGGAACGAGTACTTGGTAATCGCAGTTCGTCCGCTCTACATGCTAAAACTTTCGGAAATAATATCTTATTTTCATTGTCCGCCCATGTTGTTTATTGAAGCAAGTTCGTTATCATCCTTTACGAAGCTTTCTGAAATAATATCTTGTTTTCAAGGTCCGCCCATGTTGTTTATTGAAAAAAAAAAAAAAAAAAAAAAAAAAGAAAGGCAGGACCGAGGCGCGCCTCGGATGGCCGAGGCACACGCCTTGACCAAAGATTGGCCGAGGCGCGCGCCTCGGCCACAGTTTGGCCGAGGCACGCCTCGGCCAGCGCCGAAGTCCGTCTCGGCCCAAAAAAAATAATAATTATAATTCAAAGTAACAAGTTTATTCCAAAGTAACAAGTTTATTCTGAATATTCCGAAAGTATTCTGAAAGTAACTAGTTTTATTTCAAACATAGAAAAGCAAATTATTCAAAGCAAGGAAAGAATCTCAAAGTACGACTAACGAACTACTCGTTGTCCGTGATGTCCTCAATCACAATCTGATCAAGTGGAACATCGGTGACGTTGCTGGTGTCGATGCCATGAAACTCGTCCACCAAAGAATCCTCACGAGCATCGGTAACATCATCGGTGGATTCATCCAGGACACCAGGGTCAGGATTCTTCTCTATGACAGGCAAGCCAAGTACCACGGGGTCAAAATTCGGAACCTTCTCACTCAGCACTGGAAAAATCTGTTGTTGCTTCGTATACATCCCAATGTTGAAAGCAACCTGCGCCTCGGCCTCGACCGCCTCTTGGCCAGCTCCAATTTTGAGGAATTCCCGGACAACCTCAGGAGTGCACACATAATTCATCGCGTCCTCTTTAAACTTGGTTGAACTCTTGTAGGCCTCCACAGCCCGGCCATGGGCGTCAGCATGACCAGCACGGGTCCTCTCATGGTCCTCCCGCTCCTTCCCTAGGGCAAGTGTAAGTGCTTCGTGCTCCTTCCTTAGCGCCTCAAGCTCGCCTTCCATTTTGCTCAGAGCCCCCTCCCGGGTCGACAGCAGTGCTTTGTGCTCCTTCCTCAGCGCCCCAAGCTCGTCTTCCATTTTGCTCAGAGCCCCCTCCCGAATCGACAGCAGGTCCTTCAGGCTCTTGTTGTCCGCATCCCTACTTTTAACATCCTCAATGAGCGCGTCCGTCACCCACCGCCGTTGTGCATGAATGATCTGTCCCTCTAGCAAGGCCTGCAGTAACAGACAAAGTAAGATACGCCAGGGTAGGGAAAGAACATAAGTATAAGAAAACTGACCTCAAAAATGTGTCGAAGTTAACGCTGTTGCAGCATGTTGACATCCATGGCGACAAGGTGTTCTAGGTCCGCAGGAGGAGCAATACGAGCAACATACTCAACCGCATCAAGACTTTTATTTATTATCAACGCTCCCGGTGGCACGTCCGCTCCCGGTCGGATCAAGTTGGTCCCAACACGCGAGTCGGGCTCAATGGAAGTGTCTCCCTGCACCTTGGGGGGTTGGGGGGAAAAGGTAACGGCCGTGGGTGTGCGAGTTGATGGGGGCTGCGTCACCCCCTCGGCGACCTCGGATGGAGTAGGCGTGCGCGCCGACGGGGGCGACAAAACCTCCTCGGCCGCAGCTTGGCTCTTTTTACCTTTCTCTACCTTGCTCTTCTTGGAGGGGGGGATCCTGCGATCGCGATAAGTATTGACTAGATCTCGAAGACGAAGACATGGTACCTGCAACAAAAGAAGACTAGTTAGAGTTAGTGGTTGATGAATAACGACTAGGTGGTGACAGAAGAATACCCGTGGGTGCAAGAGCAGCAGGCTGAGTCCTCACGAAGCCTAAGCCCGCGAGTTTCCACTCGGTGGTGTAATCAACGATCGATAAAAGTCCATCCCCCATTAGGTCATCTACATCTCGGCTGAGAGAAGGACTCATGTCGAAGGAAGGAGGGCAACGTAGATGGGATCCCCACTTGACACGAAAGGGAGACGGAGAACCCACAAGTGTGACAAAGAAGAATTTGGGTTTCCAGTCCTTGTTAAAGGTAGGGCGGTCCTCAAAGAGTTTGTAACGCGGCGTAGTCGTAACCATGACAAATCCCTTACCCTCCTGAGAGGCCCTACCAACTATGAAAAGAGCCTGGAAAAGATCTAGCGTGGGTTCTATCCTTTTGTCCTGACATATAGCAAGAAAGCCCGCAATCACCCGGTGACCGTTGGGAACAAGCTGGCCGGGGGCTATCTCATAGTAGTTCATAAAGTCTATCACAAACCTATGAAGGGGAAACCGCAGCCCAACCTGTAGCGACAGAAGGTAGACCCCAAAATACTTATCAAGAGGTGAGTCGGAGATATTATCCTCAGGTTTAGGAGGGTAAGTGGACAGGACGAGGGAGTTATCCTCCCAATCCTGTGACCCTAGTTGAGGCCGTGTGGACAGGACGAGGGAGTTATCAAGAGGGGAATATGAGGCCTTGCGCTTTTTCTTCTTTTTCGGTTGGGGCATAGGTGTTGGTGAGTCAACAACAAATGGAAGAGGGGGAAAATTTCCAAACAGAGGATAATCATGCTCGAGAAGTTACTCCTCATCATCACCATCAAAATCAAGATCTCTGACATCAATCAAGGGCATGATATCCATTATAAGCAGAAAGACACTAACATCACCTCGGTTACAGATAAGATTGCAGGACTTGTACAAAATTGCTTGTCAGAAAATAAGCAGATTAAAAAAGAAAAAAAAAAAAAAAAAAAAAAAAAGGGACCGAGGCCACGCGCCTCGGCCAATGGCAAGTCTAGCCGAGGCGCACGCCTCGACCAATGGCTGAGGCACGGTGCCTCGGCCGCAGGACGAGGCACACACCTCGGCCGGGCTGAGGCGGCGCCCCAGCCCGAAGCCGGCAAAAAAAAAACAAAAAAAGGTCGAGGCGCACACCTCGGCTGTGGCCGAAGCGCGGTGCCTCGGCCGGCTGAGGAGACACCTCGGCCGACGTCGCCTCGGTCGCAAAAAAAAAAAAAAAAAAAAAAAAAAGTTAAGTGAATATCATTAGAAGCAGGAAAGGATTGGAAAGCACAAATCATGGGGGATTTGGAAAATAAAATCACATATCCTAAATCAATCAGGATTCTGCACAGTATCAAGATAGATTCAGCCTTTCTCCCAAGTCAACTCAAACACATCCGTCGACTCAAGAGTAGGGGGGACTGGTGACAGGATAATAGGGCTGGCGCCCGACCCGAATCATAAGTGGGCATCTGACCTGACGCCATATTTGACCCGGCACCACATGGAAACCCATGGGGCAAAACTCCAACGGACAGAATTCCAACAAGTATCACCTTTACTGCCATTGAAGCCACCATTGATGATAGTGAATTAAAGGCTTAGGCTCCCCATTTATGTCCCATGTTGTTACCATTAGGACTTTCGTATAAATAGGGTTCTCCTCAGCTAGCAAAGGACACGATACTTTCTATACTAAAAGACTAAGCAATACAACAATCCGTTATTCTGATATTATATTTTCGGTAACATATTTACCATCAGTGTCATTAATGTAATGCACATAAACTCTTTAGACGCACAATGCATTGTACACCCTGGTGCACGATATAATTTGCCCTCCTATAACGGTTGGGTTTAAATTCCTGCCATTAACCTCAATTTAATCCTTCTACCACCACTGATTTATTAGGGAAAATATTTCAAAAATTAACAAAATTTTAGTGTATTTGTGTTGCATTTTTTAACGAATATTTGATGCGCTATAAAAAGTTCCACTTCATAGGCTAGAAAAAGTTACACTACAGCTTAATGTAATTTAAAAACGAGCAATATTACATCTACTATCATTTTATATTTCATTTTCTACTCCTAATAAGGTGTCATATAATAATTGTTTTAAAAAATAAAGGGACACCATTTTTTATTCCTTCACTTTTCTTTGTCCAATAAAATATATCAACATAGCGGGAGTAATACTCTTTGGGAGTACATTTAGTATTTTCCTTTTAAAAACATTATAGATTTATAGAGTTCCATACAGAAAATGACAACGTAACTTTACACCTAAATGGGATCGAAAGTATAATATTAACATAATGCAGGGGTGATATCCTCTTTATTGTCTATGTTTTTACCACTCTACTTAATCAATTTTGTACATAAATTGCCTTGAAATGTCTCTGAGTTGGAGCTAAAACATTTGTGTGTGTGTGTGTGTGTGTGTGTGTTTTTTTTTTGGTAAACTTGATGGACCTGCATGTCCCAAGGTTAGTAGATTCTCCTTATGGCTACTTATCTAGCATTTTTCTCCAACATGGCCTTGATACCCTCAAGAGGTTGATTCAAGATCCCCGTTCCCCATTCACTGGTTTGCCCTAAGTCTGCCAGGTGGTCTGCACATTGACTGCCTTCCCAAAGAACATGGTTGATATCAATATCTCGAATATAGTTCATGATGGTTCTACAATCAGTGATCAAATTATCAACTTATGGGCGGGACTTAGACTCCCCCTTTATCGCATGAACCATTGATTCCGAGTCAATCTCGAACACGATCCTATTCAGCCCACGGTTTCTGACGAGGATGAGTCCCTCCCTCAGGCCCTAGAGTTCCGCAATGAAATTACCCGTAACTCTCACCTTTGCCGTGAAGCCCACAATCCATGGACCATTATGGTCCCATATCAACCCGCATGCACTAGCCAATCCAGTGATAGCTTTTCTAGCCCCATCCATGTTGAGTTTGAGAAACTTGGGAGCTGGCGGATACCAACTAACCCAAACCTG